CCCTGAAGAAGCTTTAAGGTTGTTGAAATGAAATGATTTCACCCTGTCTGACTGTATCAGCATGTTTCCAGTTCCTCGCTGAAGCTGAATACATGGGAGATGTAAAATGCTTAAATAAAACCCAAATGAAACAAAGAAATAAAGTGAAAAATAAGTGACACATTAAGTGCGTTTCCATCCACTTGATTTTATGTGCGTTTTCAACTTTTGCATGAGTGAAAACATTTTTTATTTAGAAAAAAAAGTCAAATATCGCAGAAAAGTTTTGATGCAGCTGAAGTGGGAAAGCCTGTGTATCAATAAAAAAAGAAAACATTGGAAATAGACAAAAATAACAAAGTACATGAAGCATGTGACTTCAGAGTAACATCAGATCTCATATTAATACATGAATCAAACAGTTTTCCACATGGTTTTCAATACTCCACAGAAATATATAGAGTCGAGATGTCTTCAGTTAGCTGCAGTCTGAAACTTTACCACTAGATGCCAATTTATCCTACACACTGGTCCTTTAACACGGCCATACCACCTGCCTAAAACATTCACAGACATCACACTGTCTCACAGATGAAGGACTGAAAATGTGACATTGGGTGTTTAACACTTTTACTACATTTGGCACAACTCTCACAAAGCATAACCAAAGTTTCCAGAGAATATGTTTTTTTTCATCCTCCACGCCTATTATTCGACATGCTCAATGTTTATGTGTCTTTTTTTTATCGCATTCTCGGAAAAGATCTTTCAAAGAAATCTGGAATACAGTCAGGGAACATTTCTATAAATAATGTCCCATGTGGCTAGTAAACAGGCTGTAGAGAGAGGGTAAGCGTTTCCTGGAGAAACTCAGTGCAGGGGTACCTCAAACGGAATAAAATGTGTGTCTTGTAAAGCTGCTAATTATTTTTGTATAATCTGTAATCCAGTTTTACGAGAGTGAGGAAAAGGCTAATTGAGAAAGTGGTCAAGGCCAATGAGTCAGTACCCAGACAGCACATGCACACTCTGAGTCACTGAGTAAATGTTTCAGAGCAGTGGTTCCCGACCTTTTGTTCTTAAGGGACTCCTTTTCTATCATTGAGTAAACTCGCGACCCCTTATATAGCGGATAAACTGTACAATGAACCCAAACAGTGAATGTTAGAACTGCAGGAAGTTGTAGAACGGAGCAGATTATTGGCCTGGTCTGTAATATGTATTTAAACATTTTTTTTCAATTATACATTATACTATCTAAGCAAACAATTTAATTTAGTTTTCTGTAGAAATAAATGAACTGCTGGGATACAGGCCTACAGTGCATATTTTTTATGTTTTAGTACACCCCTTAAAAATCAAGAAGGCCTTATGACCACCCTGTGAAGCTTTGGTGACCCCGAATGGGCGTCCTGGCCCCTAGCTTGGGAAACATGGCAGTTCAACATAGCAGACTTCATGGAAGGTGACACATTCTGAGATAACAAAACAAATATATATACCTGTATTCAGGTGATACACACATATCTATGACATTTTTTTTCCATTACTGCCAACAGATGCTCCTAAATGTTACACAATGAACCTTTAAATCTGTTGCTTTCTTACTTACACAGACGAGTAACATTAGCTAACACTACAGGCAGAGATGTGACATTACTGAACAGGTCAAGCAGCTGAATCAACTCTTTCATTTCATTTGTATTTTTTGGTATTTAAGTCAATTTAGTTTTAGTGTTTTTATCCAAGAAAAAGGTTGAATAAAACATATTTTTTATCATAGGCGATGAAGTTAACATCTCAACATCCTTTCCATACCGTGTCAGGGATAATCTAAAAAAAAGAATCATAGTCATAAAAGGAAATGCTTTCCATTATTTCCTACATCCTTATTATTTTAGTGAAAGGAGTTCTGCGTCTTTGGAAAATTTGGAATAATACTTTGTATTATAGAAAAACAAACCTGCAAATTTAAGACCTCAATTAAAGCACTGACTCAGACCATAGTATAATTGGAGTGCAAGACGCAATGCAAATATGATGACTTCATGTAAAAATGGTGTCTCTGGTACCAAATGCATCTCATGGATGGTTTTTAGGCAACCAAGTAGCACCTGAACACTGGAAAGTCCTCCACTCTCCCAAAGAAAAAGCACAGTGGGGAAAAGTTGACTCTGGAATCAAGACTGCTTATTCAGTCCACTTTTCCACCGCTCCAGAATGAGGAAATAAAGAGGACAGTGTTTCATTATTCCTCAACATTTAATGTGGCTGGCCGCTGCCTTTTTTCACCACAGCGCAGCATGGCGCTTTATAAGCAGCCGTACGCCATCCGCAGTAGCCTGGGGCCTTGAAGGACCTCTCCCCAGTAAAATTGGAGAGAAAGAAATAAGTGGCTCAATTATGTGTGTGTGTCTGTGTGTCTGTGTGTGTGTGTGTGAAAGCCAGGGCTGGACTGGAAATAAAGAGCTGAATTCAATTGGCTGTTGGTCTTAAGCTGGCCTCCACATGTTGTAAAAATACAGACGCAGAGCAGAAGCAGGTTACTACAGGGCACAGAGCGAGAAAGAGACTTTCTTTGTGTGTCATGTGCTTTTAGGGAAGTAAAGTGCCAGAGTGACTCATAGAGGGGTGAGTAAATGTCTGATACTGCTGAGCTTTGCTTTTTAATGAAAGTGAGTGTCAAACTTTTAAATACTCAGTTCTATTGTGGCTATTAGTACTCATTAGTCATACTACTGCTGTCTATCTGTATGGCATTTATTACTTACTATGCACATGCTAACTTTGCTCCTATCTGTTTACAGCTTCGTCCATCTCTCTACAATCCAGTCTCTCCACTTGGTAAAGATGTAGTCTGTTTGATCTCCATGGAGATGTCTCCAAACACAGTCTCCTCTGCCTCGTTGCCATGGTCACTGTGGTTGCTGGTCTTGCTGACCCCTGTCACCCAGACAACAAGTTCGGTGCCCACATCTGAAACTTTTCTGCCGGCCAATACCACACTGTTGTTTAACAGTGGCGCTCCGGGGTACAGCCTGCGGAACTGCAGCTGCTCAGCACTCATCCAGGACTGCAACGAGGCTTTGGCCAACTCACTGTGCAGATGCCACACGGTTTTGCGCTCTGCTCTGCCCCCTGCTGGGCTCAGAGAGCCTGGACAACTCACCGTCTGGGTGAAGGAGCTCTGGGACCTGGAGGAGCTGCTGAACAGAAGCATGGTTGGCCATTTGCGGTTGTCCTTTTGTGGAATAAAACCAATAGACAGTCAGTACCTGGCTCTGCTGGGTCTACGGACCCTCAGGATCCACAGCGCAGCAGCAGAAGCTCCCTACCCCAACCAGGAAATTACAATCTCCCCCGCGGCAGGGGTTGCAATGGAGCTAGAGGCCCTCTCCTTTGACTTCTCCTCCTCCGTCCACGTGACCTTTCTGGATGCAGCAGTTCTCAATGGGCTCTCTGCCCTGAAGGCGTACACTGTGGTGGGACCACCTGCTCACACACTCTCTGAGCACTTCCCCCACCTGGCCTTGCCCTTTGCTCCTTCGTCTGCTACTTCTGAAGACCCTACGGACCCCGACGAGCAGGCTGTAGAGCCAGAGGAGAACCTGCTCATGACGTTTGTCTACTAACAACAAGTTGTGATTGGAGGGCGCGGTCAAGCTTGCAGCGACAAATGATGCGATCATAGAGGACACAGCTGGATGTTTTTTTGCACACCTGACATGGACATGACTGAACAGACAGGCTTACATCTTTCTTACCGTGATGCTTTTTTTTCTTTACGGAGATTATTTACTCTCTTTCTTTATACTCCTGCTGCTGTTTTTCCATCCCTGCGCAGAAATTCATGCACTCGTACCGCAAACAGACACACGGTCTGGCTATGTTTACACCAGCTACAGTACAGCATATTCTGGGTATCACCCCATGTTTGCTGACCAGAAGGCTGTAATGAGCCCGATCCTAGCAAACTAATGCTCCAGTTAGAGGCGATGATTTGCTTGTGCTAATCTTTCTGGAACTGCTGTACATACGGGGGCTTCAACTTATGGTCAAACAGTGTGTTTACATGCATAAATATTATCTCTTATCCTTGGTATGGCTACATACAGGAGAGTGTTTTACATGCACAAAACACATTCTGCTTACAATTGTTGGTACCACTTAAGGAAGCCAATGATTTAATTTAAAAAGGGATTCTTTATAAAGGGGGTTATAAAGTAGTAACCGGTGGCTTTATCAAGGAATCAAGGAAATGTATTTATGAAAGTTTGTAGTTCCCTTCATGCTACACAGATAGAAAAAGATAATCAAATTGATAAAATAACATATAAAATAAAAATAAAATAAACGAAATCAATATATACAGTTATTTATATACACACACATCTATACTCTGCCCTTCATCTTTTGAATTTGCTGGTCTGGTTGCAACAAGATAGTGATGATAATATAGTTTCATATTCACATAAAAAGAAACTGTCCTGGGCTCCTGTCGGCTCGGAACACAGTCCACCCATCGAGTGCTTGATCCAGGCTGTTGATGGAGCAGGTCTCTGTCAAGATGTGGGCACAACAGTTTAGCATGGGTCCTGTCCGTTTCTCTTCCCTCTCCTCCTGGAGCGACAGCCCTCGCTGTGGTGGAGCAGGTCCTGCTGGGTGGCTCGTCCTTAAGGTCTGCCGCTCTTTAATCCAAACCCCACGCTTCATTTTCCGATGGCTGCGGGCTATTTCTGTCATAGGCCATGCTCAAAATCTCCTGAATCCATTCGATTTAAACAATCTTGGCTTAGCCCTTAAAAATCAAACCCAATCAGACGTCATTCCATGATTTTTTTCAGCAACAAAGCCAAAAAAAACAACCCATACAGATTAAAACAGAAATGTAACAAGTTTTGAAGCAGCTACTGGCCGCTGCATCTACATGTGCAGCCGTTGCCATGGAGATTCAAGCATTTACTAATGCTTTAGGACAGTTTGACAAATTCAAGCCAACACTTAATTTGCTCAAATTAATTCAGACACAATCCGTATAGCATAGCATCATCACTTCATCATCATCATCATCATCATCATCATCATCATTATTTTTTTAGATCACATCACTCTGTGTCCACATCTGGCCTTGAAAATTCCCTGGCTTGATCAGATGACAGGCAGCGACTGAACGTGTGACCAGTGTAACCGTAGCCACAACTGTCCAGACAGGCTGTGGGCTGATATGCCATCTGCTAGAACAATATCCGAGACAAACCACACGCCCGCTCCCAAAGAGAGATGAGATGTTCCAGATCCCGCTTCCAGCTGCCAAGTGGGTGTTAGCTCCCGTCCAGGTGTTGTCAGATATATCGGGGCAGCAGGATAGCATAGACAGCAGGGGGAGGCCTTTGACTAGACTTTGACTGCAGTTGTTTCTAGAGTTTTAAGTTGACAAATGATTGGAAAAACTGGAATAAATGAGTGGAGAAACGTAACAGATGCAGATGCTTCCATGCAGGACATGAGGACACACTGATTGGTTTGTGGATCAATGTGCAGATACCACCTTTCCACATTTCCACCACCATTATCAAATAATAATGTCTTTTAGAGGAATGGTGGTTCACCTACTTTAATATTTCAGTTGATATTACATTGTGCATATATATATACACATTTGTGTTAAATCAAATTATCACAAATGTACTGGTATTCAGCAACCGGTACGATTTCAGCATAGAAATGGTTTGTTTCTGGGACTGTGGAAAATTTGTTAGGGGCACTTTTGAGTCGGAGTTGCTCAACTGGGGACCCCATTTCTTTTTGTTCCCTTCTGGATGGTTAATCCATCCCTGGATTAGTCAGTGAAAGGATGTCTGCCCACTCAGGCTGAAACCAGGCCACATTTGGCGAACATCTTGGTTACATAAAATGTTTTTCTAACAGCATTTCTATGGAAAGTTGCAACATGTGGCTGGTCTCGTATATGTTGAAATGATGTAGAGTCTCAATGAATGAGGTGCTGTGGGGAAAGGAGAAAGCAAAAGGACAAATTCCTGCCTCAGGGATCAATAGAGCATCGTAAAAAAACAAGATGTACTGTGGCAGCTGACTGCAGTGAACACTGGCTGGAACCAATCCAGACTATCCAGAGTGGGGTCAGAGTCTGCGCCAGAGCTGGATGATACTATTGTGTCTGACAGGGAGCTTGGAGTGTGCTTTGCTGATGATATTTTATAAAGTAAATTATAGCAAAAGCTATATGTTGTCAAGACATATATCGACAACTGACAAAGAGATAGTAGAATGTATAAGAAAACAAAACAATAGAAGACAAGGACTGTGTCAGTCTGCTGTGGTATGAGCTGACGGAGAGGCGCAGTAGGCTCACTGTTATGAAGGCTGCAATCCGCTGCTGCGTTTTTCCAGCTGGCCTTATTGAGTGCAGATGGCCTAATAAAACAAGTTGTTTTGAAACAGGTTAAAATGGACGCCCAATGAACAAGAGTCCCAGGGTTAGGATCCTCTCTTACCAGCCAACAAACCTCATTCTGTTTGGATCAAAACTATGACTTTGACTCTCTGACGAGTTGGATGAGTTGTACGGTTCTAAACCCACTTAAAGCCAAGTTGGCAGGACTCTGTAAGGGAAGATCGGGAAGTAAAAGAGAAATGTTCTCAGAATCATGTTGGACCTGATTCAGTCACTACACAGCTGTTTGTCAGAAGTCAATCTGAACTTCTTGAACGGTTTGTGTTTTTGTGTCTGTATATTTTTGCAATCACGTTAACCAAATGAGAAAGGAGTCGGAGGACAGTTTGAAAAAGAAAAAAGTGGATGTAAGAACTCTTTCTCTCTCTGGTTCCAGCTCATATCCTGTGAGAGACTTTGTTAAAGCTGCTCTCACAAACACAATCCGGGGCCAACACTTCTGTTCTGCAGATCATTCAAAACTGTTCTGCGTCTGTGTGTGTGTGTGTGTGTGTGTGTGTGTGTGCAAGCTTGCAGGCGTGAGCACATGGGCGTGTCTGTGTGTGTATGTGTGCATGTGCTTGCATTCATCTCCCTTTTAGCAACATCACAGTTAATTTGTTGCTCTATAGTCATAGTTCATTTAGATCCTTTACAGTTACAGCAGATGCCATGTGTTGAGGTGCAAGTGTTGCAAGTGTTGTATATACTTCATTTATGCACTGATTACGTGCAAGTAAACACTGTCAGTGAAACAAAGTTGCTACGCAAACTGTTGTATCACTGTTCTGTAATTATTTAGAACTCCATCGCTTTGAGCTAAATAAATGCAGATATCCCAACTCCTGTCAAGTGAAAATATCAACTTTCGGACAAATCCAGAAAAGCAGCCATTTGAGCTATCTACTGTGCATTTTTGAATGCATTCAAACTGTTTTATTAATCCAGAGGTTTGAAGGACAGTCAAAAGACAGAGTTCATGACTTGCAGGACTTCTGCACCTCCACACCCAAAACAAACTGGCCTTCATTAGTAACGCAGTGTAGGGACTCGGCACCATGCAGAGTGCCTCCAGTTCATGCATAAAAAATTTGGGAACTTTTCAGGCAACGCTGTTTTTGACAGCAAACCTTGTGGGGTTTGAAAAGCTTACTGAAGTTCCTCAACATGTAACTGAACTAATGAAACTATAATGAAACAGATAAATCCCACTTTATATCGTACATCGCCCATAAGTCTCTAAAGGATCGTGTTCTTACGTCTCCTCCACTGTTTCACTAGCTTCTGTGATTCTATCTGTCAATAGTCCTTATGTTTCTGCAGTTTGCTATACATATATATAGTTATAAAAAATA